GTTCCTGTGAATAATTCTGTGGAAGGGAAACCAAGGACCGCAGTAGCAATAGTGGCCCCCGTGGTAAAAAATGGAACTGCTAGAGTTCAGAGAGAGGAGGCAAATTTATTGGGCCTGTATATTCTTTTTAAAAAGGTTATATTTTTACAATGATATTTAATTACTTTTTCAAAAATATTAAGAAACATCATTTTGGACAGTTTTGCAAGTTTGTATGTTTGAGGTCCCAAAGAACTCTAGGGCCATGTATCTGTTACCCTTAAAAGATAAGCATTCGACAACCATTTAATTAGCAGTCCTCCACCTCTTGCTAAGCCCTACTCAGTCTGTCTTTGGACATTTATCAAAATCTGTGAGTTGCAAAGAATACCGAGGCCTTCTGCTGGAAGAAGTTTATATTCCTTAGCTAGAACACAGGAGGAGACAGAGTAGGGTAGCTCTCCAGTAAAACAGATTGAGGCCTGCATAAATACAAACAAGTCTCTTGGACTTTCCCTGTGCCGGGAAAAGGGCCTCTATGCCTCCTGTAACCATGAGCGCCCTTCCAAGGTTGAAATAGGCACTCACTGTTTAAAAATAATAACAATACCTCTGTGCAGATAGACTTCGCCCATCCTTAACTGGCTGATTTGCTCAGTGTGTTGCTGACTTCCTCAAACAAATGTACTCCCTTTTAAAAAAGAAAAACAACTATTTGAGTGCCTAGATTTACAGAGAAAAAAATTAAAGAAGTGCCTACTTGCTTTATTTTAAGGATTCCTTTAAATATCAAACAGTTAAAATATGATTCTGTATAAAAAAATTATATACAAATTTCAGGAACATCATCATTGAACACTCAGGTACTCAGTAATTACTTGCTGCTTGGGTGAACATACCTATTGAAAATCAGTAGAGTGAAATGGATAAGAGAGTGGGTTGGGGTCTGGATATGCCTGTGTTTGGATTCGATCCCTGCCATTCATTAACTGTGTGTGACCTTCAACAAGTGACTTAGTCTCTCAAGGCCTCAGTATTTCTTACAGAAATAAAATGAATGAGTAATGTTTGCTTCAGACTTAATTATATTAAACAAAAGATGTAAATAAATATATCTAGGATTAGTGTATGTTATCATATATCACATTTTATTATGTATTATAATGTCATGAATTATCCCATTCACTTAATTTCTGCTTGCCTGATTGGAAGAAAAAGAATAGCAGGAACTAAACACAAGTGATATGATATTTACAGAGATATAATGCAGGTAATTATGAAATATAATTACATATTTACTTCCCATGTATATGGGACATAGTAAATGGTAGCCATTATTGTGAAAAGTGGCAGATAATACTTCTGAAGGTTTGAGCTCTACTTTCATATCCACAAAGAATAATTTTGTGCATAACACTCCAAGACGTTTTATTGCACTGGTACTGTGAGAGATAAAAGACTTGGTGTGATTGAGATTTTTATGGCCTTAGAATTATGAGAAAACAATTAACAGGTACAGAAGTTAATTGTAGCAGAGATCAGCTTGTACCAGTTGCGAACATCTATTTGATGTGCAATGATTACTCATTCTGCAGAGTAAACACTGACTGATTCTCTCCAAGTTTTTATAGTATTACCTGCTTTCTACTTTCTTAATTTAAAATATTAGATGCACATGTTTCATGTCATTTCCAGACTAGAACTGAATGTCAATAGTTGAGAGTAGAAAAGGCAAAAATGGTACAAACTGCTTCAGATTTAGAGACTAAATGCAAATGCTCACTCAGGTGACCAAATCTGTCTTCTTTTTTGATTTTCTGACCCTTTTTCTTCTCTCTTTCCTTCTAGCTCTACTAGTTTGTTTAATAAAGTTGAGAATTCTCACAAAGGGCTTTATAAACATGTGTTATTAGATTTTAAATCTGATTTGAAAGTGCCTCTCTCCTACTCCCTCTGAGTAAAGTGACCTTTTTAAATGGAGGGAAGTGGCTTTAGATGACAGTCATGATAAATGCGGTCATGTTCACTCAATAAAATAAGGCCCAGTGCATTTGAGGATAAATCAGTGAAATGTACAGCCCCACCTGTCTGTCTCCATCATTCATTTCCACTGTCACTTTCACAGTGGCTGATGGATCACAGTTGCTGTAAAATTAGACAGCCTTTAATCTCATTTCATCCTGATTAGCTTCTCTTTCCCCTTTCCCTCTAACTCACTGACTGACACGCTAAAAATTCACACGGGGCTGTATATGCACATGGCGTGCAAACCTCCTCCACTACCTGCCGGGAGGGCAAGGCAGGTGCCCATCTCTGGAGAAATCTGGAAAGAAGCAGGGATGTAGCTGGTGTTATTTAGAAGAGAATCATGAACGCTGCACCCAGGGCTATTTTAAACACATTGTGTGCTCTTTCTCATTACCCTATTTATTTTGCTTTTCTTTGAGTTTAATCAGAAGTCAGAGAAATTAGGTGTTTTGCAAATTTCAAACATTGATTGAATAATAAACATTAATTGAATAATTTTTTCTAATAAATTTGGGAGCATTTTACACTCAAAATAATTTCAAAGACTTACTTGTGTGTGTTTATAGCCTTATACTTCATGGTACTAATTCTTAAAATAATTCAGGAATGAGAATATTAAAATGCTCAACCAAGGAATATAGCATATGCTATTTTAAAATAAGAGTAAAAATGTGTAGACCAAAAGAATGCCTTCCAGTAGTCTCTAAGTAAGGACTTCAAAAACCTTCTCTCCTCTTATTTTGAAGAGTTTGGTAGTAAGTTTAGTACAATAGTTTCATTTATTTTCATAAAGCATAACAATAGGGGTAATCAAATGAGAAAGAGGCTTAAAAATAAATCATGTATTATTTCTTTCACTTAATTTCTGCTTGCCTGAAGAGAAGCAAATGAATGGTAAGAGCAAAACATATGCATTGCTGTATTTTCAGAGACTGGGCTTTTATTATGAAGTTGGACTTATGGTTAAAGAGAAGAAAATACAATTTTTCATTAATTTAAAAGACTTGGACATTGAGCTAACCAGTGGTTTAAATAAGTACATGAGGGGTAGAGGCGACAGACCGTGTAAGCTGACTGTGGCTGGTGGTCTCTTTTCTTGCACAGTGTCCCATATGAGTTGATACGTACGGATCACAAGTAATGCTGTATAAGTTTACACTGCCCAGCAGTCATTGTGATGAACTGGCCTTGCATAGGCCATTCACAATGTACTGAAGGGGCAGACTGATTTTGTTTTTGAAAACTAGCAGAATAATTCAAGCTATGGGTTAATTTTCTAAAAACCTTATGTATTCAACCATAGTTGCTTAAGGAACTCAGAGTATACTGTATCCCAATGAATTTTGAGTGATGAAGCCAGTAAGATCTGTGGAGTTTTAAGTATTTCCCAAAGAGATAAACCGAGGATTGAGGCACTGAGGCTATTCCTGAGATGATTCTCTAAATTCATTGATCTAAATCACGGACCACACAAACCCAATTTCTACCACACCTTCAAAAATTGGGCTTATGTGCCAATCAGTACCTTCTCCCTGGGGACATAACTTCAAAATCAATGAGTATTTGCAGCAATAATTAATTAATAATTAATCAGAACTCCTACAGTTCTTCTTTGGGAAGAAGTGTTAAATGATCTGATTTGCTCTTTCAGAACTGTTTGCTGAATTACCATTCTCAAAGCTATGCCAGTTTCTTAATTTTATTTTTGTATCTTGGCCAGTATAAGTGCTTGCTGAGAAAAAGAAAAACAAAATGAAATGAAAGGTATATATCACCCAAAATAACATCAGGTGTGACATAAGTTCTCCCTCTCTCTCTTTTTCGCTCCTCTCTCTCTTTTTCTATCTCTTTCTGCATTGGAAAAAAGCACAGAGTAAGAGTTGGCCCGGACTCATATTGATTTCCCACTGCACTGGTTTCTTAAGTGCTCTGTTGATCCGTGTCAGGCAATAAGTTCCCTGCCTGAACATGCACATCACCTCTCCATTTGTCCTCACATAGATTTAAGATGCCCATATGATGAGCTGAACAAGGACATCATTTTTCCTACTGGTGTCACTGGGCCCAAACCGCTGCATGTGCTATGATAACGAATGCTATATACATTTACCCTTTGATCCTATAATAGCAGCAACGAGCACTGCACATCACAAAAGCTAACAGGGTGCTGTCCATCGCGACACCCCAAAGCAGAGGCAGATGAGAGCAAAAACAGAGAAACCTCACTTTAGTGGATTTGAGAGCAATACCCTCTCCTCAAAGCCACTGCCATGGCGCAGGGAGAAGGGAGAGGTGAGGAAAGTGGATATTTGTGATGTTCCTGACAATTTTCATCTTTGTTCCAGAAGAGCTCCTATGCAGACAGATAGAAAATGTGTGATTGTGCTGCTAATGACATTGTACAGGAAATTAAGCGTATACATTTGGAGAAGGCATTAAATCAGCAGGACCTTAATTTAAAAACTTAAAACTGTATGGAAATGTAGCTTGTTCATTGCTGTGGAATAGAAAGCTACCAAGCACCCTGAGTCTGTTTGTGGAAAGACTGCCAGCAAACTAAGTTTGGGCAGAACATCTTAAAGGCTCCAAGTATATTCAGAGTTTCTTCTTCCAAGAAGTAACCGCCAGCCCTGGCCATTTGGGAGTGCCAGTCATTGTTTCACAAAGCCATCCCCATCATCAGGCAGGTGAAGAGGACTTAAGAATCAAAAGCAGCATGGCAGGTTGTTCTTGACTAGTCTGTGGAATAACATTATGTAAAATTAATCAGAAGGGGCTGGGTTAGGAACCACTGAGAACACACCACTGAGCTTGTGCGGGGGGGGGGGGGGATTGCTGGGTTGGCGCACAGCTGCTCTCTACCTCTGCCATCTTCTTCCTTCTGATGCAGGCTCACTTTTTATGCACGACGGTGAAGCAAATAGCTGCTGAGCCAAGGTATCAACTCCTAAGATGGAAAAGTTTAAAAGTTTTTATTTTTTTCTTAATTCCAGTTATGCCATACAACAGTGCTCACCACTGTGTTGTGGAGGTAGAAAACTTCTTATTCGTGCTGGGTGGAGAGGACCAATGGAATCCAAATGGTAACTATTGAACAACTTTAATTATAGATGTTTATATTAGTCAGCTTCACATTACCACAATGAAATACCTGAGGCAAATAGTCTTACAAAGAAAGGACTTATTTAGCTCACAGTTATGGAGGTCCTGAGGCATGACATCTGCATGGTTTGGTTATGGTGAGGGCAGCAGATGGTGGCACATCTTGTTATGAGTATATAAACAGTCAAATCACAAGTGGGGGCAGAGAGAGAGAGGGTGGGCAAGATCCCACAATCCTTTCTGGGTACATGGCTCAAATGAACTAAGTATCTCCACTAAAGCCCCCAACTCATGAATGTTCCACCACCTCCTTGTAGCACCATCTAGAGAACCAAGCCTTCAACACAGGTATCACTGGGAGACACTCACCAAACCTCAGCAGCACTCATGGAGTATGAGTCAGTCCATTTTGGAATTAGTGTGGAAACTCTCTGTGTGCAACAGGGACAAATGAAGTAATCAAGGAACTGGGCTGACGGAGAGAGGGAAGGTCAATCATCAAGCTAACTGAAGACACTGAGCAATCACTCATCCACTCCCTGGAGATTTAGCTCTGCAGTGACGCCCAGCCATCCCATCTCTCTCTAGCCATCCCCTGGGGAAAACCACAACATTAGAACAAACTCCCCAGAGGAAGGTGGTAAGCTGCAGATGTTAAGAATCTTCACCACCTTTTCCACCACTTTCTTCTCATCTTATGAATATGATAATGTGGTTGCAATCAGTAAGCATCATCTCTAGTCATGCTACATGCCACGCTAGCTGAAGTTATTCTGCAGCTGGTCTGACTAAACCTCCATCTTAGTCACAGTTCCTTCTGCAAGTGCTCCATCTATAGATCACCCCAATCCTCCCATGGTGTGATTTCATAAGTGCACTGCACACAGAAAGTAAACCTGTTAACACACTTCCCAAGCCAAACACGAGGAGAACACTGCCTTATAGAATATGCAAAATTATCAAGATATTTTTGGAAAGCTTGCATGTGAAGGAGGAGTTGCAGTTGTAGCCTTCTGTGTAACAGAGATAATTATGACTAGGAAACCATAAAACAGCTTGCAGGTACACATTTTTACTTTAAAACCCCAGAACATCCAGCTGAAATTACATATACTGCCTCTATTTGATTGTGAATTTCCTCTTTCAGCATCTGCACCAAGACAAACTATAGAAAAATGGTTACATCTGTTCACTGTAGAGGATCTTAAAGGAAAACAATCCGGGCCACCTATTTTTTTTTTTTTTAAGGAGAAAAAAACAATAAAAACAATGATACAGAATTTCAAAACAAGATAATAGGAAATTAACAATGGTTATTATATTGCATATTGCTATCTTCAAAGTAGTTGCCCAGATTATAAGATATAGGCATTTTTAAAAGGCGAGGGGATGGTGTTATTCTTTCCAAGATGTAGCTTTGTGTGTCTCATCTCCCAGTGTCTGGAAAGGGGTAGTTCCTGGGGTTTTCTGAGAAAGAGACTCAAAACAGGAGCAAGAATGATGTTTCACCTCTCTCCTCTAGCTTACTTTTATAAGGACAGATGTGATGTGCTACTGGAAGACCTTGACTTGCATGCAATCCACTGTAAACTCCCCATTTACTCCTTATCCTTCTCCAGCAGGGACTGGGACTGCCCAGAGTCCCAATTTGCATAGCCATAGGGTTTATCTAAGCAAAGAATTTGCAGAGCATCCTCTCAGAAGGCCATTTTAAAGCTAAAACATGAGAAGAAAAGGCTGGGAAGTCCTAACTCAGACTGTAGTGCTCTCGGCCGACACCTCCTCCTAAGTGGGCTAGGCCTCTGCTAAAATTGCCAGTCTTGGTCCAACAACTCAATTTTTCAAAAACACTGTGAACCTCCCATTCTATAAATCTTACCTTAATCAGTGACTCAGAAAAACTTGCTCCCCATGATTAGGCAAAAAAAAAAAAAAAAAGATCTGTACCTGTTGGCTCCTCCACTTCAGATCAAAAGCACATCTGAGAGAACTGGGTTGGAGATAGAGCAGAGCTGAAAGAACGTATTCTTCTAGTTTAGAGGATCAAGATTTTACCATGGATCTAATGCCAACTCCTCATAAAACCCTGCCATTGGACTGCCCTGACTTTCCTCCACTCACCAGGAGAGAAGCAGCAATTGGGTTGGAGGCCCTGCCTGACTACCCCAAGAGAAAAGACTCCTGAAGACCCACATCTGCCCTAACTGTAGGGATGTGATTCACCGTCAGCACTCAGTGTGCTTCATGTGCAGACCCATGTGACAGATTCTTGTCAAGCCAAAGCGCTGAGGCATTGTGTGCTTTTAAAATGATCGCTCATGCCAACCATGTGCCTGACTGCGCCTCTGCTCTACACTTTTGCCACTAGAAAGCTCAGAGTTAAATGTTAGCGAAGCTTTCACTTTACTTTCAGTCTCAGTATAGACCTGACAGCTCTCTCGTCTTTTAAGATTCCCTTCTTGAGCTTTGGAAGTGTTCACGTGGAAAGCTGAGTCATTCTGCCCCTGGCTTATTTGCCACGTGATGTCATTTAGCATAGATCCGGGCCCTTTGCCCAGATGCACCACTGACGTGACTCTCCCAAACAGAAAAGGCTGGCTGTCCCTGAGGCAAGTAGGTTGGCCTTTTGTGCCCCATGCCAATCACACAGTCATTAGCTAAAGCCTTCCCCAGGAGGAGGATAAGGGTGGATGGAAGGCGAGGTGTCCTGTTCGTCTGAAGGAGTAGCCATGACCAGTGAAAGCCAAAACTACAGCTAGGGAATGCATGCACGTGTTTTATAAAGAGATCTGGACTAAATACCAAGAGAATCTACCACAGTCCCATAAATGGTTTCCATATTCCATCCATCTGGTCAACCACAGTAGATTTTTTTGTTTGTTTGTTTGTTTGTTTGTTTGTTTGTTTTTAGTATTACTGGTGGTATTTATTGAGTGTTCATTATTTTAGCCAGAAACTTTACTAAGCACTTGCCTGTATCATTTCACTTAATCCTTGTATCTGTCTTGTGAGCCATGTTCTGTGATAGCTTACATAACAGACTAAACCTCAAGAGGTTAAGCAACTAATCAAGACCCACAGCTTACAAGAAGCTGAACTGATTCCAATGCAGGTCTATGTGACTCCATAGCCTCAGTCTTCAACAACTATATAACACTGCTAGTCCATCCATATGGTCAACCATAACAGAAGCAATCACGTTTTTGCCATTGATCATATGAAATTAAATCGGGATATCACAATGAAAGTGGCTCCCACTTGAAAAGAATTCTTTGTCATTCCACATTTAGAAATCCATGAAAGGACTCAACCATCTCAAAAATATGAGATGTTCATATAATCCTTCATGAAATTAATACCAACATGTATAAAGAATAACAACCCTATAATAACATGCTTTAATATAATTGTTCACAGGGAGAAAAAATTTCAAATCTTGCATTTGAGCATTATGTGTATGTCAGTTCCAAAGATGAAATATTAAGTTAAATTTTAGTTCCTATTAAAATAGTGCCTGAAATGCATAGCTGTGAATAAAACACAAAATTATGGTTTAATACATGCTTATAAAACACAGATAGGTGCCATCAAACAAATTTGTAATTTTATTTTTTGACAATTTTGATTACCAGACAGAAATGTAAAGTCAAAAAACATACTAGAAACACAAGCAGATACATATCAAAGTTTTGCTAGCCAGGTGCATTATAAATATCAATTCCATGTCATTACTGACAGGAATATATTATAATATTCTAATGAATATGCAAATATGCTGTCAGTGCTCCACCTACAGAAATCCAATTTACATTGTCACTTACTAACTACTGACTCCCCAAACAACTGCTGAGGAGAAATTTCTTTCCTTTCCACTTCTTCCCCTTCTGTGGCTGGTGGGAAGTTACTGCTCCTGGCTCATGTACCACATCACTCAAGTGCTAGTCAGCAATGGTTTCTGAAGACACAATGTCAGAAGTAGAGAAAGAGCCAGAAAGAGAATGCAAAGGATAAGAAGAAACAGACTATGTGAAGGATAACCCAAAATTCTGCTGCAAATTCCACCACTCTCAAGCTGCTGGGAGAGTCTCAATAGTTGACATGAGGAAGGAAGGAATAAACCATTTCATCTCACCTTCCTCATTCTGCTATACTCTTTCTAAGGTTCATTATCCTCTCTTCTCCTGCTTTACCACCTCCAGAATGCTAGTCCTCCAGCCTGTCTCTCTTTCTCACTCTTGGACCTGCCTCTAGAAACCATTTCTTCATTTCACATCTGTATCACCCCAGTCTGTGTGAGCCTTTTCTCTGAGGCAGGCCATTAGCATTATATCCACAAGTGAACATTGCTAGTTTCTACCACCGCTACCTAACACAGGAAAACATTCTATGCCCCATTACTGAGAGGAGCCATATGTCTTCTTTCATATGGAAATTCCAAAGCAGAATTCATACAGAAACATTCTTATCATGGAGAATAGGTTCTACACTCCTATAAACATGACTAGATGCATAAACTGCAGATGCATTTGGGAATTCATCTTGGAACTTGGCTATCAGAATGATAGTTTTCCTACAAAGGAAATGATTCAAATTCTATAAAAATTCATTCTACACATAACCATTCCCTTAAGTGGAGACTCCTTATGTGACACCAAAGCCTCCTGAGTCACTCTCGCCTCCTGGTACTCTTGTTTCTTCCTGTGCGTTCCCAGAAAAAAAAAAAAAAACAAAAAAACTGACTTTAACATGTAACCTGACCATCCCATGCTCCCACACGACCTCCTGATCTCACATCAGCAGAATCCCTAGAATCCTTACACTCTCCTCAGAAGGAGTTAATGCATTTCCTTTCTACTCAAAGCCATGCTATTTTCCAAGCTTTCCCAGCCCCCTTTCTAAAAGAGGCTGCTTTTTTTCCTTTTCCCACATCCTTCATGTTATCAAAGGCTGATAACTTTCCCTCTTCATTAATACTCCCACAGGCTTAAAGTCCCAGGAACTTTCAGATGATGGATATTTTCAGATTATGCCACCTCCTGCCTTTTGTGACAGCCAGCCCGTTTTCCTGGTAGTAGCACCTCCTTCACTTGACCACTTCACTATCCATCGCCCTTTCGTGTCCTCACCACCATCCCCGATGAGCTTAGGCTCTAGTGATGCCTATCATCGCTCTAGTTTGTACACCCGCAGCATCTCCACCGCTCTCTCTGCCTCCTTGACTCCCCCTCCCTCCCTGCCTCACCCCCTCTGCTCTTCTTCCTCTTTCTCCTTCCCCTTCTCCTCCTCCTCCTTCTCTTCTTCATTCTCTCACTCTCTTTCTCTCTCTCCCCCTCCCTCCCTCCCTCCTCCTTCCTCTATACTTGCCTGACAATGCTGCTCCTGAATAAATACAACTCTCTTCCATTTCTCCCTTGCTTCTGAGCAAGTCAACTTGGAGAAAACCAGACAGCCACTACTGACTGCTAGTCAAACAGTTAGTACCAGGGTCGGCACACTAGTCCACCTTCTATGGTAGCTATTTCCTTTTCTTCTTTCTCCTCAAATGCCTCCTTCTCCAAAATCCCCATTCTTGCTCTCAGTTGATATTCTTGCTTCTTAGTGAAATGAGAATAGAAGCAATCAAATGTTTCGTCTCGCTGTCATCAAATCTATTCACTTGCTTTCACTGCTACTTTATATTCCTTTTCCTCCAATCTAAGGTCTATTCTGCACTCTTCCATGCCTGCTCAAACACTTTTCAGTATTTATAGATTTAAGCCTTTCCTCAATGCTACATCTTCTAGCTGTAATCTTCTTTTGATTGCAAAAGTCCTAAGAAACATTTCCTATCCACTTCTCTTTTCTTAGATCTTATTCTCTCCTGAGTAGCCCCCACTCAGGCGCTCATCCCTACAGTTCACTGAAATGACATTTGTCAAGGTCATCAGTGCCTCCAGCTTGCCTGATACTGTGGTCAAGTCTCAGCTGCTCAGCTCCTTCGTTTCCTGACCTGGATTTCAAAACACTATGCTTTTCTGAAGACTCCTGCCCTTTGCTGGCATTTTGGCTTCTACGTCAAGGTTCATTCTCAGGATCCATTATCTTCTAATTCCATATTCTCTCCTCAAACTGGCTTTATCAAGTCACATGAATTTAAATAATAGCTCTGAACTAATGACTCCAAAATTTGCATCTGTAGCCTCACCTAGCCAGTAGCCTACCAGATGCTTCCTAGTTGACATTCTATAGGTCTCTAGAAGTTAAGCATGAAATAGAGCTCATAACTTTTCCCCACCTGCCACTGCCAGCCTATACCAACTTGGTCTTCTCTACCCCATAAATGGCCTGACCTTCTATCTGGTTACTCTGGCTATCAACTGGAAGCCGTCCTTAATGGCTCACTTTTCTTCATATCAATATCCGGTCCCTGCTTGACCATTACAATGCATTTCATTTGTGATCATATCTCACCTCCTCCAACTTCTCTCAAACCATCATCAGCCTAACAGTTCCTCCTCTTCCACAGTAGCCCTTCTATAGACTGTTCATACACCACGCAGGGTGATGAGTGACACGTATTCCTCAGTTGCATAAAACCCTCCAGTGGCTTCTTATTGTGCTTACAACAACATATAAAATCCTACTTCAGTCCACAAGGCACACTGCTTTGAACTGGGACAACTCTCTACACGGTCACCCCAATACTGCTATTTCAGAACTCGTGCCCAACCAAGGGATCTTATACTTGCTTGCCCGCTTCCTACGAGGCCCGTTCTGTACACATGTGCATAGCTTCCAGCAGACATCTCTAAGCAGGTGACCGAGTACTCCAACTGGCCTCCTCTCTGCCACTCCTGGCTTTATTGTTCTTTACTTGGCATTATATTGCATGTTTGTTTTATTTCTTACAATGACAGGGATCTTGTCTTTCTTGTATACAAGTACATTTCAGAACCTAAACAGATGGCACATAGTAGGTGCTCAATATGTTTGTGTAATTAATAATTGGATTTTCTGTGAGCATGTGCATACACACACATACACACGCCAGCACACGCACACAGACACACCCTACTTAGTGCTGTGGTAAAGTCTGCTACCCGTCTCAATGTTTAGTCACACATATATGAACAAAGGCAGCCTCCCAAGGTCAAGGCCTCAGGTGCCTTCCATGATCACCACTTCAGGTGCCACATGGAAAATATAATGCACGCTTTTGCTTCCATTTCTTGCTCTGATGTCAGTATATGTGCAGCATAAGCATTCATGTTAATACCTTGGAGCCCTTACTGTGCTTCTGAGTCTCACCAGAGGGGAAAGCCAGTTAGCAGCTCAGAAGGCTCACGCTTCCCATTTCAGCAAATTTGCTTGTGCAGACATCACAGCAACCATACTTCCCCCAAACACACACACAGAACTTGCAGGGCATGCATGATACAGAGCTGGTTTCCCAAATTAGACCGTTACCATAGCTTTTGCCATTATCTCTGTAGGGAGACAGAAGATGCTACCACACCTGGGTTCTTGGGTCCATAAAAATGGTTCTAAGAATGTGGGGAGTTTGGCATGTGTGCAGGCGAGGAGAGTGTCAGAAATCTGTGTACTTCCTGTTTTGCTGTGAATGTCAATTCTCTTTTTTAAAAAGTCTTTAAAATGCTTTATTCAGTATAAAAAGAAGAGTATACAAGCTTTTTTAAGAGACTAACCAGAGAGAGCATACGAAATAGTCTCTGGAACTGATATTTATAGACAATAACTTCTTTTTAAAATATTAAAAACATCAAAACACAAATTTTTGCCCTACCACTGTGTTTTATAGAAACCAGTTTAGTAAACACACATGCTTACAGTTTGGTTGATTTACTTTACTTACCTACCTCATTCCAAAAGTTAAAAAAGGGGAAACATTCAAAGAGGTACATTTATTCTTCTGATGATTACTTTTCATGCTCTGTTTATTAATCCTTCTACCTAATTCATCTGCTTGTTAAACCTGAGGACAGAGAGACGAAGAAGAGAGAAAGAGAGAGAGGGAGGGAGGGAGAAGAGAGGGAAGGAGACAAGAAAGAAAGAAGGAAGGAAGGAAGGAAGGAAGGAAGGAAGGAAGGATGGAGGGAGAGAGGGAAGGAAGGAAGGTAGTGATGCAAATCAACAAAGGAATATAAGTTTTAAGCATCTCAAATGTATTTTTACAGGAAAACATAGTACGAATTTTGTCAGTAGATATGATCCCCGATTTAATAGCTGGATTCAACTTCCTCCTATGCAAGAAAGGTAAGTGTTTATTTCTTGTGTGTGAAAGATTTGGGACTACCTTACAGGAAGCACTGGATGGTCTCACTTGGTGAGAGCGGAGAAACGAAATACAAAGCTTGGCCATATCAATTTAGATTACCTGCCTTCATAACTCAACAGAGAAAAATAATTTAAATAGTCAATTATTTGTCCAAATGTAGAAAGAAAAACTTGTGTGACTTGTGTTCTTTGATTGCAGTGATTTATACTTTAAAAACAGAGCTATAATTCTACTGACTCTACTCAGTGATAAAATATTGAAATCTTAAAAACAAAATAACAAGGGGTGATCAAAATATATGGTGAATGTTTACTTGAAAAATGTATTGCAGTAAAAAAACACATTGGCATTAACCCACCTTGAAATACTCCCCCACATTTATCCCATCATTCTTCTCACTTTCTGAAGCAGTTCCAGAAGTGCTCTTTCATGAGTATTTTTACACGGCATGATCAAAAAATACAGTGAATCCGGAGGCCAAGTGCTATGCAATAACAGAAAGGCTCCTAAAAATATTATGGTGTGTCCTCATCCACCTTCTTCACCAGATCTGGCATAGTGTGACTTCCGGCTCTTCCCTAAGTCAAAATGGACATGAAAGGTAAACATTTTGAAGCTGTTCAAGACATCCAAGTGGCCAGGACAGTGCAACTAAACATATAAAACACTCAAGCCAAAGGACTTCTGGAACTGCTTCAGAGAATTGTAAAAATGATAGAATAAATATGTTTGAAGTAAAAAGGGAGTATTTTGAGGGGGATTAATAGCAATGTGTCTCTTACTGTAATTTTTTTATTTAAAAATTCACTATTTTTGGTAACACCTCATGAAACACCATTCTCACAATGATAGACATTTCAATACAGAAATTTCAATATTAACAATTAAATTATTTAATATTATATTTAATATTCAATAGTAAAGTTAGCAATTTAAATATTTATTTAAATTTAATATTGCAATAGTAAATTCTATGGCACATTAACAGATTGTTTACCTTTGCTTCACCAAATGTTTTCATGAATAGGTCATTTATTGACTTTAAGCAAAATAGTCCTTCAAGTATCACTTTTTTTGAGTGTATGGAGTATGTATCTCACCCAAGTCTCCTTACTCCCAAAGGATAAGATGACTACTGTATTTGTACATGTTTTGTTGCCCCTGGCTGTTACTCAGGCATGAAGCTGTCTTTAGATGCATGTGCAAATTAACATAGTAGAGTTCGAACACTTGATCCTACTAAAATAATATATGGACATCTTCTTAAGTAAATTCTCCAATATGGTAGTGACAGTCCACTATTTCTTCTTCTCCATCTAGTTATTTAAGAAGTAAACAGCAGCCCTCTCTTTCCTCTTTCTAGTTTGACCCTTGTTCTTAACATTTCTCTTCACATTGCAGTAGATTATACTGAGATTGAATTAGACCCTGAATCATAAATTCCAAGTAAATAAAAAATTTTCAGACTACATCATTTATTCAGAAATATACATGACTACAGCAAGATAATGTGCACCAATGTTCTAAAGATAATCAATATCTCTTATATAAATATATTAAAACTCTCAGGAGACTAAAACCTATACCCTGAAAATGAAATTTAATACACTAAGGAAATAGCCACTTTAGGAATGTCGAATTCAAAGACATCTCCAGAAATAACCCCAAGTCAATTAATATCCTGATGAACATCTTGAACCAGAAGCTCACTAATATCTTTCTCCAGAGCACCCTGTTTCTTTGGGGTACAGGAAGATTTCCTGGTTGCTGTTAGTATAGCTGCCTCATTTTGCCCTTTAATCAAAACCATCAAAAAAAGTTTTATTTAAAAAATAACTATCAATATATGTCTGAAATGTGATCATCTCATCACCACGGTCCCTTTTGCTGGGGGCTGTACACCACGATAATTAACCTTCATGCCTTTGGCTAGGGAGGCATAACTCACGTTGCGGTCAATTATCTCACTGTAGAGCCCCTAAGGATGGGAAGTATTGCTGCAAAACCTAATTAGTAATTTTTTTAAAAAATGTGTATTGTTTACTTGATAGTCTATAATGACTTCCTCTGAGGCGCTATGGCCTATCATGGCAGGGTCCTACTTAGACAATTTTTAGCAGCTCATTGACCTGATAAAAAGACCTGCCATGGTCTGTCGGCGCCCGGCAGCCACCGTTGACAGGATGGACTGTTTAACGTTTCTTTCGAAGTCATTATGGTATATCATGTCAGGTCCCTAGTAAAAGAAGTTTTTTTTTAGATTTAGAACAATCAAGTTGATAGACCAAATAAAGAGCTCCTTACAGAGCTGAGTGGGAAAAGGCAGATCTCACAAATGCCCAGTCAATCTTCGAGCTTCATCTCTCCTATGGGTTGGTTGACCCAGGCAGCAATCCATAACTTCAAGTGGAATTTTTCTGTCATTGCCAGGCCTCCATTCAACAAAGCAAGGACCATCAGTGGACTAATTGGTGGTTAAACATAAAAGAAAAATACAAAAATATGACACACTCAGAAGTTTGTTAAAACATCGGAGTTAATGTTACAGTATGTAGATCAAACTAGAAGCACCCTCCCATCTTTCTCTTATGCTGCTGCCAAACTGCTGAAATTATACTGAGAAGTTACCAAACTGATGGAGAATAATAAAAACACATTGTAACCCGCATCCAGCATAACTCACTCTTACAGAGCTGGTTGGACAGATTCCTGAGATACCTTAATTACTCACAGCTCCCGGAGGAGTATAATAACCTGCTGAGCATCCTTCTAGTCCGGCAGGGAAGTGGACACATGCCCTGTGGGCTTATTCAATCATGGGTCAATTCCTTAATTTACTGACTGCCTGCTAGCTGGGAATGTACTGACAAATGATTGGATGGAAATATGCATTTAAATGCAATGCTGATGAATTCTTTTGGTCTTAGATTCAGGATTTGATTCTGCAGTAGGAAGGAGAATAAAATTGAAAGCTTGGGTCAATATAAATGCTTTGGTAACTTCAATTTTTTTCAATAAAACAGACATTTTAAGTATTATTCTTATGTAGATCTTACTCCTTAGCTAGTTTAAATGGTGGAAAAAAGAAAAGGTAATTTGTAGAACAACAACGGAGCCTGTTTCATAGTATAAGTGAAAGACTAAAAGCTAATACAACAAAAATGTTTCCAAATTAAAGATCTTGTCTCTAACAGTCTTACAAGAAACCATGGGAGATAACATTCTGTTTGAAAAACCTGTTGTTGTTTTTAACCTGAGAAGGGAAGTCAATAATCCAAGCTGAGGTAAAGTTATGATAATTCAATCTTATGCTATAGGATGTAACCTGATCATCCCACAGGCCAGCAAGGACTTATAAAGATCCCAAGATAAACAAGGTTTGATGAATATTAGTAGAACCTATTTGTTAGACTGTCAGTGTAGAAACATTGAATATTGTTTCTGGCAGTGGGGGAGAGGATAATGAAGGTAAAATGAACAATATAAAATCCGTCTGGTGTAATACACTTAGTATACACTTAGTATACACTTCATGTGGGGAGGAGGAGAAGGAGCATCTCCATGAGAGATCTGGTATGGTAAAATTTTAATCGCGAACAAACAGATAAATGTTCACACCTGCTGACAGACCATTAGCAATCCGTTGGTTCTCTACTGCACTTCAGGAACTCTGTCTTTGGGCCTGCAAGAGAATAAGTCTTCAGGAATTTCTACATCAAAATGCACTTCCAGTAAGGAAGGGAAACCTACTGCTTCCTTCCCATAAAGATCCTAACAGTGACACTGTGTGGATAAAGCTAGGAGTGCACGTGGATCATCACACTCATGTCCTGGTTAAACACAAGCATGTTCTGACAGGCTGACTCAGTGTCAGTGAGGAAGGGACCTGATCAGAAAAAGTAAGAGAATGTGAACGTCACCTAGAGAAAACGAACTCACACTACCAAAGGGGTTCTTCCTGTTGTTCTTCACAATCTAAACGCAATTCAATAGGAAATATACTAATGGGCATTTGCTAGAGTAGTACTGCATCGAATTCATCTCACCATTATTAATACCTTCCGACCCACATAATCCGAATTATTTAGAGATGGTCCCTTAGAGAAATGAGTAAATTTATTATTTCAACAGCCCTGAGACCTGTCATAAGAACCATATGAAAGAAGTATATTGACCTACCCTGAGTCAGTCTTGCAAAGAAATATGTTACTTTAGCACAGATTTTGTAGAAATACATTATTGTTTTCTGTAAAATATTTTAACTTGAGAAGGCAAAAGCAATAGTAAGTTGATTTTGATGTATCATATTTAGTGAAAGAACCAGTGAAAAATAGATAAATAGAAGAAATGAGTAGTCCCTCCGTATGTATTTAATTTTGCAACTATTTTTAAACTTAATTTTATATTTAGATGAGTTTTCACTATCCTATTCCAGAAAATCCAGATTTTTAGATCAGATATCCCCTTGATGATCTGATGAAAGGCCAGAAAACATCTCTCTCCCAAAATCTGTATGTGCTTGAAAACATATATTATATTACAATTTTAGTTTCATGGACCCCACAGAAGACCTAAACCCACGTTAACAATCCTTACTTTATGAAATCTGACTTGCTCGCTCTTCATTTTCCTTCCTTCTTTCAAAAACATGTCCTCTTTGAAATACATCAAAAAACTTTACATACAATAAATAGCTGAAATATTACTCTTAAATTATCAATGATGGTTATCAGGACAATTCTAAGACTATCCAATTAAAAATAAAACTGAATACATTGCATCTATGATAAATACTATACTTCTGTGGCAATAAGTCATCTAAAGTTTCATGAAGGAATTTAGTGATCACTTAAATATTGTTAGGAGAAGTTCACATGCAAATATTTTGGTATTTAATATTTAAAACTTTCTATCCAGGTAATATTAAGTGATAGCTTCTGAGAATGACAAAGATATTGGACACGATGACAAGCAGTTAGACATATTCACAAACATCTCGTGAAGGAGGTGTCACTACTACCCCCATGTCAATGGTGAGCAATCTGAGACAGAGAGGTTAAGTAACAGGTCATAGGTCACACACTAGTCAATCACAGAGCCAGGCCAACTCACTCAAAAATCAATTATTAGTCAAGACTCTTTATACTGACTCCCATATGATTTTTGCACTCTGTAAACACAATCTAGAAAATCTCCAAAGAATATAGATTTACCTGATACAAACCCCTAGCACTCCTCATCTTGTAATTAACGTTACACAAGAGTCTTGACATCAGTTTTATGGTGATCATTAATTCATCCGACATAAATTATGTTCTCCAGGGGCCTTGGCACTTAACAATTGCACTTACTCAATACAGGACCACGTGTCATCCTTGTGAATTGTATTATTCTGATAGAATCAGTGAAAACGAAACAACAACAAAAAAAAACAAAGGGTCAAGGATTTCCTGAAGTTTTAGTGTAATCATCCTAACTCCAAATTTTTTACTACTCCTTGAACCTATATTCTTTCTCACCTCCCCCACATTTTGAGCTATCAGTCTTTCATCTTCTTCCTGTAACATATATTCTGCATCACCCCCTTCCATTTCTTCCACTAAAGTTCTAATTCAGGTCCCCGCTAATTCAGGTCCCCACTATCTCACTCCTAAATTATAGCCAACCTCGGAATTTGTGCCTCTGTCTCCCATCCTTCCCACTTGCCCTTCACTGTTCTCCTTGGATGGTATAGTAGGAAAATATAGTCAATAGCCTCTTGTGAGAAGAAACTGTAAAAATATCCAATAACCTTATGAAAATCAATACCAAAGCTACTTAGATGAAATTCCTGTAATTGGTTATAGAAGAGCGAAATTTGAACATTATATGAAGTTCACAAAAGTTATTCTATTTGCAGTAATACTAAGAAGAAAAAAAAAGAAAAAATGATAATTGAAGAAAAATTTTGATGATGTAGTTCTCTTATAAATTGGGAACAATGACCCTTGAAGGACCATACAGAAAGTGAATGTCAAGATAATTTATTATTGTTACATTATCTACCTCATTTTTCACTTTGTCTTACAGAGCTGTGATATCCTTAAAAGGTACCAAATATCCCAAACATTAATGAACACTTTCAGTGTATAAAAAGCAAAATAAAAAGAGCTGAAACAAAGGATTGGTGATTTTCTCCTTTACTGTTGCTTTAACATCAAAAATGTTAATCAGATGGGCAATGCTTATGATTACTGCATCCAGCCTTAGGTTTCAAAGGTAGATGTGTGATGTTTAAAGGTGTGCAGCCCTCTGTGAAGCAGGCTGTATGTACCTCCTTTCCCTAAAGGACTAAGGGTCCTTATCCTACTTCAAAGGTAACCTTTCACTGCTCCTTCTGTGAGTCACTGTGTGTTGTTGTTTCCATTATAGAAGAGCCAGTTTCTATGCATGTCGGTTGGACAAGCATTTATATGTTATCGGTGGGAGGAATGAAACCGGCTACTTGTCCAGTGTGGAGTGCTATAACCTGGACACAAACGAATGGCGCTATGTGTCCTCTTTGCCACAGCCTCTGGCAGCTCATGCAGGAGCAGTGCACAATGGGAAGATATACATTTCAGGCAAGTTATTGCTCTACTTTCTGCTCCATGGTTTATTTCTAAGGCAATTGCCTGACTTGTACATATATGCTTAATTCACAGGGGGTGTACACAACGGAGAATATGTCCCATGGCTATATTGCTATGACCCCGTAATGGACGTCTGGGCTCGAAAACAAGATATGAACACAAAACGCGCAATCCACACTTTGGCTGTAATGAATGATCGCTTGTATGCAATTGGAGGAAATCATTTGAAAGGTCTTTTTTTTTTAAATCACAATAGCTTTTGCATCTCATGTTTCTTGCTAAGGGGGTTTCTCGTTAGATAATCAGTTAACCAAGTAAAAAACATGTTGACCAAATAAAATCTACTCTGTGGAAATTAGCAGTACCCTTGAGCAAGCATTTATTCTGACTTTTCTGCAGATAGGATTATTTCTGAGTTACCATACACATTAAAGAAATGAATAATGATGTCTACAGAAAATTTTTTCAAAGGGAGCATTAATAACTGAAAAGCACAAACTATTTGTTGTAACAGTGAATCCAGTGAAATGAATTATTTCTTATCTCTAAAGTTACAGTAATGAATTTTTCCCAGAAAATTGTTTTTTGCAGTAATCACAAAGAACTTTAGCCACAGCTGCCCAAGCTAATATGTGATTTTTTTTTTCTTAAAGAAGACATGTGGTGGACTCTTGTATCTAAATTTAGAATTATGTTTTTCATATTGAATATCAAACCATTTACAATTCTCAAATTGAATTGCTTTTTTTAAATAAAAATTTAAAGCTAAGTACTTCAGAGCCACATTCTGGCTCCTTCTCTTCCCTAGATCTGTACACCACTTCAAGTCTTTGTGGCTTCTTGCACGCTCATAACTTTAATGTATAAGATATACCACTGAATCTGACAGGAACGCAGAGAGGTCTGTGGTACTGAAAACATTACTGACATACTCTCAGTTTCCTCATCTGAGAGTGAACAAACTGGTCTGGTTAAATTTTGAAAATCTTCTCCCCTCTGATCCTTGAATGTGAACTAAATGGAAAACATGCTGTCCCCTTATAACAGATGAGACGCATCTGTGCATTTATTTTACAACAATATATGAATCTTAAAAAACAGATCAGACATAGAAAATTTTTTTCTATTTTTCCGAATTCCTATTTAACCTTCACCAGTGCTCCTTGGTTTCACCCCATACTCCATTTCACCTTATCTCAACATGCTTTATATCAACTTTATAGCTTTCTACATCTGTAATTTCTTCTAACTCCTTTCATACAAGATGTTGCCAAAATGATTTACAAACTTTTGATATTCGAGGATATGTGTAGACAACCCTAAATGAGAAGTAGCACACACACACATCAATAGTAGTTTAGCTCAGTGGACATCATAGCAGGCAAGGGTAAGGAAAGACTTTCCATCTAAGCCTAGATTTGTACCCTGTTGATGCATTTACTAGTTGTAGGGATAATTAACCTTTCCTTGATGGTTTTTGTGAGGATTACAGTCAATGTATCTGATAATACATAGTATTGCCACAGAGAAGATGCACATATCCTCAAACAATGCCTCTAGAACTTCAGAAACTGGACTCTCCCCAAGGCCACATTCTAAATGTATTACGCTTCAAATAGTACAGTGGGTACATTGCTCTATTGTACCAACATCTGTCTTTGTGATTCATTTTATGTAAGAAACACTAACTGAAATAATCTATCAGAAATGAAAATTATTCCTTTTTATTAAAGGACTGGTCCTCTCAAATATTTGGTACAGTCCAATATGTTAGTTAGGGCTGGAGATTTAGCTCAGCAGCAAAGCACCTGCCTGGCAAGCGCAAGGTCGTGAGTTCGGTTCCCAGTACCGGGAAAAAAAAAAAAAAAAAAACAATACATTAGTTAGTTTGATGTATGCATTGTGACTGTCAGTTAGTAAATATCCATAACATACACTTAACCAGAAGGAAAAAAAATTTGGTCTGCTCCGTGACCACAAAGCTCCCACGAGGGTCTTTTCCACCTCCTGTATTAAAGGTAGGACTCCAGCGAAGTCTGGCAACCTACACACGTTGTTCTTGTTGACCCAGTTACTGCCCTCATCTCTGTATCAGAAGTGGAAAGAGAAGCCCCTCAGGCCCTACTTCAAACCTTGAGCTTGGCAAATTGGAAACTATTTACATCATTAGAGTTACACACAAATACAGACTATAAAAATGTTAAAAGACATTGAACAGTGTATTGTTAATTACTCAAAATATTTCAAGTGAGTTAAATAGTCATTGAAGAAAAGCAATATTGTGACCTCTAAGTCAGAGATCTGAGGTCTGTTTACCTGGGTTCAAATCTTAGCCTACTGTTTACCCATTAGTGAAAGGATAAAGGCACTGACTTTGTCTGTCTTTCAGTTCCCTTATCTATAAAGTGAATATAATGATGGTAGCTGTCTCATAGAATAATGAAGGGGAATCACTTCATTTAGACAAAGCACTTAGAAAACTAAACTAGCTTACTGTAAGTACTTCATAAAAATGCTTGCTTAATTATTCTTATTTTAAACCTTTCAAAGTAGCATTTTAGGGGCTGGGGATTTAGCTCAGTGGCACAGCGCCTGCCTTGCAAGCGGGAGGTCATGAGTCCAATTCCTGGTACCGGAAGAAAAACAAAAACAACAACAACAGCGAAAAAAAAAAAACAAAATGTAGCATTTTAATAAAGCATTTTAATTTGATCTACCCCCCCTTACAATCAACCTTTACTAATGACATTTACTGAGGCTCACTTGCTTTGAATTAATCCAAAACAGAAAATTTGTTGGTATATTGTTAGGTCTTTCTGGTATGGCTCCCAATTTCCCAGTGAATTTATGCACTTGTGTCCTCAAAGACATGGTTGACTACTTCTTGGTTGACTTCTTGGACCTTTAGAAAAAAGCCCTAACCTTAAATGCAGTTTATTCTTTTGTGGTTCCACTTTCCAACATTACTTAGGTTTCTCCCACCTCGATGTAATGCTTGTGGAGTGCTATGACCCTAAAGGTGACCAGTGGAATATCCTGCAAACTCCCATTTTGGAGGGTCGAAGTGGTCCTGGTTGTGCAGTGCTTGATGACAGCATTTACCTCGTGGGAGGCTACAGCTGGAGTATGGTATGTCCGTATCTATCACATTCTCCTCCTCTCTGCTTGTGCTCAGTTGTTCTGCTTGACTCCTGCCACACGCATTCTCACCCACACATGTGCCTCTTAAGAATAACATGCTTAGGTGCAAGCTATAAGTTACTATGAGTGGGAAAGCAGAATTAACAGGAATGCTGGAGAACGGGCATGCTGTCTGATCAACTGCATCACAACATGGGTTTGGCCTCAGGTTTGTCCTACCCTCATATTTTTGTGAGTCTGATTTGCCAACTAAAAGTCAAGCTGAAGTGGTTTTACAAATGCTTTGCAGAGACTGAATAGGAGAGTCTGAAAAGTTTCTGACCAATCAGGCATGAAAAATGGAAATTAATTCTTCAATACCCATGAATTTTACTTAGAAAATATAATTTCTACTTCACTATTTTCCCTCTTTTTCATGAAAGTTTCCAAACATATGCAAAAATTGGCTTACTGTGTGCCCTTATTAATTCATCATCTAGCAACAATACCCTTCAGTGTTTTCCATGCTTATTTCATCAACCCCCTTCTTAAATATTTTGGCTGAAAAATTTGAAGCAAATCCCAGCATTATATTATTATTATTACACTCTAAGTGCCCCGGTATTTTTTCTTTTAAAACATCTAAATTGTAAATACACTATCATTTATCACGCCTAACAAAAGTAACAATAATTCCCTTGTTTATAGTCCCTATTCAAATAACCCTCATTGACTTAGAAAAGCCAAGGATGTACCTTTAGCCTGTTCAAATCAGATTCTAACAATTCACTCATAATTAGTTAGCACAGGTCTCTTTGCAATCTGGAACATTACCTCTGCCCCCCTTTTTGTTCCATTCCATTGACTTGTTCCCCAAAAAGGGTCAGTTATCAGACAAAACACCCTACATTCTGAAATTGGCTGATGATTTTCTTGTGGTGTCATTTAAAATAGTTTTCACCTCATTATTTCCTGTAGACCCAAAGTTAGACCCTGGGATTAAATTCAAACTTGTATTTTCCTCTTCCTCTGCCTCTTCTTCTTTTTCCTTTTTCCCTGTTTTTGGTCCTCTTCCTCCTCTTCTCCTTCTTTGCAAGAACACCTGGAAAGGAGGCTCTGTATTTCAAATGAAAAACACACCTTGGTCTACATATTCACTTTTTAAATGATCACCATTGTCATATTTTCCATTTATCTGTGTCCATTTTATAAGATCACTTTGGGATTTTAATAATATTAGTTTTAGTTCTTCTGTGGCAAACATAATCAGGAAATTGAGTTTTAGGGAGCTTTATAAAAGTATTTGTTACTTGAAGGTAAACATGTACTGACGTAACTAGGTATTTGTACATGGGCTTGTTTGCTGGTAGAAATTGCTAGCTACAAGAGTATATGTGTTTGGGAGCAACAAGAAAATATATTTATCAGGCAGTTGGGTTTTTGTTTGTTGCCTAGAATATAAACAAAGCTGCTTTGGTTTGAGGAGGGAAATTTTTACATGCAGTAGCCCCTAAATTTGACAAAAGAGACAAAGTTAAAGACATTTTTATTTCTCATGTACCTTATGGAACTAAACAAATCAATGTGCAAAGAAGTTGGCAAGCTTGTTCATTTCCAGTTTGCTTTAAACTGATTTTCAATGCCAGCTCTGATTCTCCACAGTAACAAATTAAAGTTGAAGAAATAAGATAATAAACTAAAGCCCATCTTAACAATTTGAATATTAAGGTAAATTCATCTTTTTATTTATTTAATATAAACCAGGTGGCCAACTTCAATTTTGGTCAATTATTGTAAAAGATTTGTTGATTATCTATGATGCTTTAGGTATTCACTTGAATGCTATTATTAGTCATCAAGAAAAGATTTTGAAATATCTATTTTAAATTTTGCTTAGAATGAAACAGTTTTAAGTTGACCGTTTTACTTTGGAATTTTCTAACAAGAGCAGAGATCTTTTATTTCCAGTGTAAATGTGACAAATAACGTTATTGTTGCTCTTCTCAGAAAATCCTTCTCTAAGCTCCCCCTGCTCTGTCATTACAGGGGGCCTATAAATCGTCTACAATATGCTATTGCCCCGAAAAGGGAACCTGGACGGAACTCGAAGGGGACGTAGCAGAGCCTCTGGCAGGCCCAGCTTGTGCAACAGTCATCCTGCCCGCCTGTGTGCCCTACAACAAATGATACCAGTGTGTCCTGGGATGGACAGCGTCATGTCCTGGGAAGCAGTGGCAGGTGATGTCGCTCTCCCATAGGAACTGTGTACTCGAATGGTATAATTGCCAGAACCCACCTTTGGTTTCTGATGATTTGCAAGTAACCACAAGAGAAAAAGACTTGTTCTGGAGCAGATACTGCGTCTGCCACCAGATCCCATCCAACTTCCTATGGTGACAAACTCTTCCATTTCAGACTGGTTTTAACTTGTCCTGCTATACAAAAACTTCCCATGAGGATCTTAACTTTTGAAAGGAGAAAGAAAACGTACAGGATACTGGCCCCACAGAGACCTAAGATCAGTATTGTGCATTGTAGTCTACCTGCATGTGGTCCATGTTGAAGTTTTGGGGATATTGTGTACATGGATAATTCAAAATCTGACCCACCAAAATACTTAACGCTGCATTACAGATATTGCCACTTGATTCTGTATTCCTAACCTTTGGCTACTTCACAGACTCCATAGGCAATACAGTTACAGAAAATTATATAAGATGAAAGACAGGCATTTTTGTTTGTCCACAGTTCTATTTCACATATCCTCTTCCCTTACAACACCTCACAAGAGCAAAGAAGAGCAAGTTGTTGACTCTCGCTTGTAGCAATTGCTTTGTGCCCTCTTGGTTCTAGGCTAGCCAGAGTGTTAATTTCTATGTCTTCACTGCTACTTAAAAAGCAAAACAAAAACATACTATGTCACAATCAGTTCACAGAGGCTTATGGTTTCTTTTTTTCCTTTTTGCAGTATTTAAGTAGTAAACACACATGCTATTTGCTTCAAAAGACAGAACTGACAAATTTAGTCCTGTGAAATTCTGGAGATTCTGTTGGAAAAAACATCTGATCCAAACCTGATCCACAATGAAAACTTAGAGATTGCTTCCAGAAATTCAGGGATGAAAAGAAAGAATCATTTCTTTTAAGTAAAATCTCAATTGCCTCTCTCTAACCTAAAACACACAACTTACAGCATCACAGCACCTGACAAAATACTTCTCCTCTTCCTCGCCTATGGCTGGCTCCAGAAGCTTGACTTAACCTCATTCTTCTCCCAATTCATCATATTTTGTTTGTCATTACCACAGATGCCTGAACTCAGTTAAGTGAGCAATGGCTACTTGTGTTTAGGAGCATGAGGAATTTAGGGACAGAAGGTCAGGAGAGCATGACGTAGTCTCAGTGTGGCCAATCAGAAGAGCTAAACTGGCAGGAACATGCATTTGACTTGCAAGCTCTTCAGAGCTCGACTAGTAACTGTTAGAAGTAAATAAAAGCCTGTAATATTTTTTTAATCACCCAGAAATGACGGATGCTTCAACAAATGTGACATGCCAAACAAAAATATGGAAAAGTGACAGATTAAAGATGCCTTGGTCATAAGATTTCATTGGGGAGCACGTCAAGATGGATGGGTACACTGGAACCCAATGCTGTTTCTACAGTAAAGTGCAATCTTCGTTGTTTTTGTATTTATTTGTATGTTCAGATCCAAAGGATCCGTTGTAAAATATATATATATAAATACATATATATATATATCCAGTGCAATCAACTTTCATTGCTTTTTCCTTGAAAACATATGAGTGTATAGAAAGAAATAAAACCTACTGTACTTTGTAGGAAAATCTCAGCTGACATCATGAAGAGAATGAGGTCTGTTTCAAAACCTTTTATTGTCAACAGTCACCATTTCCTCTAGAAGTCACAGTTTATACAAGAATATTTGCTTTTGTTAGACTTGTTCTTCATTTTCTTTTTTTCTTTCTAGCCAAAATAAATAAAAGCATTTATGAGAACTATAAGTAAAACTTTCTGTATTTCAGAAAGACACAAACTACTAGAAAGTAAAAAGTGAATAAGTCACAGAAAATGTAAATTTTGTATAGTATTAGAATGTATAAATGAAGCTTGCTTGGAAGGGGAAAACTTTAAATAAAAACTTTATGTACTAATTCAACTGTCTCACTGTCCTACTTATAAAGTATATAATGCTTTCCACATCAAAATGTTTGAAGTTTACAAAACGTAAATGCCTGAGTATTTTCTTCTTGTAAGATATGCTTTACAAGATTATTTTGCTTCCTCAGTATATAAATGTATACAGTTTGGGTAATGCTAAAAATTGTGAAATACTAGGGAAAATTGTTGTGAGTTAGAAATCACATGAGTTGAATCTGATTTTTGCACTACATGAATATTGCAGTAAGACACAATTTCTCCAGGATCCAACAGCTAAATATTTAGACACTATTATAAACATCATAGCTACAATCATGGTATATGTAGATATGTATTAAAAATACTTGCACACTTTCAAAGAATAAGTGAATCACACATTTAAATCAATTGTCTAAGTACATAGTGTTTAATTTAATTATTTCATTTCATTTCATTCTCTTTTGCAACATCTGCCTGACAGAAGTTTGCAGAGCAGTGGGAGGACTTTGGAAGACAGAGGGGGAGTCAAGACAAGGTGTGGAAGGGAGCAGTTGGGCAGCTCTCCATGCAGAGAGCTAGGCAAGGTCAAGAGTGAGTATCTGCAACCAGGAAGCTGGGAAAAATCCACTCTGATGCTTCCCGGAATCTACTTTGATGTCTCAGTGTTGATGATTAAGCAGAACTCAAGGGCTTCCTAATACCCATAGTACCCATGAAAGCAAGAGTAACTGGGGTTCTTCCTTCTTCCTCTGGATCTGCTCTCCATGCACACCAGAGACAGACCCTTCCCCAAGGTGGCCTTGACTTCCATCTTCTGAGCCAGTGGCTAGTTGCTGTGAAGCTTCTTTAAATACACTGAAATCCCCAAAACTTTGGTACTAACCAGACACCATAAGTTGTTAAGGAATTTATCAAATCTTGAGGAATTCCCTACATTAAGCCCACAGCTAGACTATATATTTTACATCTTTAGTTAGTGAATGCTTAGAAGAATTTGAGCTCAAAAGAGGAAATGTACGGAGGAAGCAAAATACAAAAGCGAATTCTTTCTCAGTATATAGCTTAATTCCAGGTGAACACGAATAGGCACCAGATTATTTAATTAAATAAGTTGTGCCTATGGCCTTAAAATGAGGGCCTATCTTACTTCTGTCTCCAGCTAACTTTACATTTTCCCCACTGTATGACAAGTATAGCACTTTATAAGTTGTCATCATTGTTAACATGGGCAGTATCAAGTATTTATTGTATAAATCCCAAAGGGTATTGTGTTGGTTTGGGGGATATTTTTGCAAAGGAACACAATATAACACAGGACACATATTTTATATGATTATTTATAATAAGCACACAAAGAATGATATACAAAAAGAGTGCAGGAAATGTGTCCATACACTAAGGCCAAGGAAACTAGCCAAGGGCCTAGACCCCACAGAAATATCCTTCATGAGTCCAGCTGAAGGTCTAGAGCTCATAACAATGCCTCCCAGGAGTCCACCTGCAGGCCTAGAGCCCATAACAATACCTCATGCAGTCCTGTTTCAGAAATCTGTGCTGGGAAGGCCCAAAGGTCAGTGGTAGAATCTAGAAAGTCTATGCCAGCAGGATGAAAGCTCTGTGCTAGCAGGCTGAGGGATCTGCACTGGAGCCAGGAAGCAACTCTCAGAAGAACCAGAGCTCCTCCAAAAGGTTCCACAGCCATCTTCAACACAGTGGGGTCCCGAGCTCCTCTGATGATCAAGATGGCCAAGTTCCGAACATCAGGGAAGCCAACGCAGCAAGCTTCTCCAGGAGACTAGGCTGTGCACCATCTTCCCCTCTGGAGCCCGGGAGTGATGCTCAAAGTGAGGACCAGAGTTCCCCCAAAGTGAACCTAAGCTATTCTCAGGGCCAACAAGGTCCCCAGGGCCGAGGTCTCAGTGCCAGCAAGGTTCATCAGGAAAGTCAGCATGATGAGCTCCTCCAAAACAACCAACAGTTCCTTACAGCTTCCACCAGCTCCAACAGCCTTTCTCCACTCCCAATAGCCTCTTTAGTTCCCAAAAGCCTTTCTTCTTCTCCAGGCCTGCCTCTTATGCTGCTGGCAATAATCCCCAGGTGGGCCTCCCACACCCAGCACCGTGCTTACTCAGTTTATCTGGGGGTTATAAGTTGACCACCAGTTATCTGTCCACTACAGGTATTATTATGTCAGATTTCTGCTTAAATACAGTTCTTTCAGTCAAATATTCAGATATTTTTGACCTATGATGGGCTTCTGAAAACCCACCATAAGTTGAAAATTAATACATCAACAAACCAGCTGTAAGTTGAGAATTAATACACCTAACCCACCAAACATCCTAGCTGAGCAACCCAGTACACTATAGAGCATCAGTTGTTTGCCTCATGATTGTGTGGCTGACAAGAACCTACAGCTGGCTTCTGCTGTTTAACATTACAAGAAAATATCACTCTAGATCACTAATCTGGGGAAAGATCAAAAAGCAAATTCTGAAGTATAGTTTCTACTTGCTTTCACACCATTTTAGAGTTACCAATCACAAATCAAGCAATGTAAAAATAGGACACCCATAGTTAAAAATTAAAATGAGCTGAGTAAAGCACACCCATGCTGACTAATACACACTGACAAGTATATTGTTAGGCTGAGTTCCATAGATGGGACTGATCATCCTTGATCAAGCTTGACTTCCTAGAAGCTCCTGACCTACAGGATATTGACATCTTGGTGGAAGATAAAATGGCAATGAGAAGCAACAGAATGATCAGTGTAAGAAGAAAATGTCCAGCCCCATAGTATGTTTGGTTTGTGTAGCTGTCAGCAGAGTAACGAATATTTACCATGTATTGGTTGGAGTTTATTGTAGAGATGATCTTAGTCCATCTGTGCTGCTACCACAGAATTAGTTAGACTTGGTAATTTATACTAAGCAAAATTACCAGTTCATAGGTCTGGATGCTGAGAAGTTCAATATCAAGATGCTGCATCTGGCAAGAGCTTTCTTGTTTCATGAACCAGTATATTGAAGGAAGGACATTTACGCTCAGGAAGAGTATAAAATGCCCACCGATGGTACTGAGGATTTAATTCAAGACCTTTGAACCGAGCTAAATCCTAGCCCTTTTTATTGATTAATTTTCAAGATGGAGTCTTGATAAGTTACTAAACTGTCCAGGCTGTGCCTGAATTTGTCATCTTGCCTGAGTCTCCCAGAGTGCTAGGGTTAGAGGTGTGTACCACCATACCCAGCTAAGAGTGGAAACTCTTTCATAAGGTTAAGAAGCTTATACATAGCAAAGCTAGGTTTCATACAAAGCCTTTAATCTAAGGTCATTCTCAGATCACCATACTCATCTGTCTACAAAGAAATTTCTTTGTTTTTGTACTAGGAATCAAACTCATGACCTCAGGCTTGCCAGACAAGCGCTTATGCCACTGAGCTATATCCCCAGCTCCTTACAAAGAAATTTCTTAAATCAATCATTTTAAATCATGTAATATTTCCTGGTGGCTATTTTTTCTAAACATAAGTAAAATGTACTGGAGGAAAAAGTGAACAATTATGATGTATTCTAGCAAATGCTATTTTGTTGACATCAATGAACAACTAGGAAGATTATAGGGACAGGTAGACAACTCGCTCTGTGATCTTGGAGGATCATTTAGTTTCTCCAACTTCAGTTTTGTCATTTGTATCTGCAACAATCATCTCTTCTTTAAAACATTATTATGAAGGCCAGATGTAAAGTATATGAAAACAAGTTATACCTTGTAAAAAATACACATATCAGATGCTAGTCCAACTTTTAGCCTAGCACACAAGTTACCATGAAACCCAGCCGCAACCTCATTTTCAAGCCATGCTTTACTTTATTTCTTTGTCATTAGGCAATGTTCCACAAACACAGCTGTGTATCTCCATCTTCTCCATTTTGCTTGTGCATTTCCTCCCCAGAGAATGCCATCTCATGCTCGAAACTATTACAGTCCTATCCTTCCATGTCCAGTTCAAACTCTACTGCCTTTGTTATCTCTTCATGATCACACCAGACTTACAGGAGTATTTTCCATCCAACTTCCTTTGCCCCTCTTACTTTATCAAAACCATACTATTCAGGAGACTTTATGTGTTGACCTCTTTGTGCATTTAGGGTTCCTTGAGGTTAAGGGTAATATGTAATATACCTATGAGTGCACCATAAAGCTATGAAATATTTGTTGAATACAAGTACTATTTTTAAAAGTTATCAATAAAATATAATTATGGAAAATCTGGAAAAGGCATAAAGGAAAATCACCTTTAGTCTATCAGCCAGCACAACTTTTATCTTTTGGTGTGAGCTCTTCTCAGTCTTTTCCATTTGTAGTGTTTGTATTCTATACAAATGAATGTAATCTTAAATCTTTATTATTTTACAAGCATGCTTTCCTGTGATTATATCTTGATGGTACTTTTTAATAATTACACAGTATGCTGAGAGAACATTCAAACACTGGGAAAGGTTGAATTATGTTCGCATAATTCACACATATTCCCCCAACAGCGTCCTTACATGTTCTTTAAGACTCCCTCCCACCAATTTCACTGCACAGTTTCTGTTCTACCCAACTACTCATATTTTTTCACCATAACACTTCAAAATATATAAGAATTCTGTCTCTCCGGGGATTGCTTATTCAGTTCATCTCTGGCCCTTTTCCTTCCTTAACATTTCTGATGGGAAACACTGCAACTCCTCTACCTCGAGGCTGTTCCACAATAATTGTAATAAGTTGTACTTTCCTTGTAAATGGACTTAGACCACCAAGACACTACTTCAGGCCACATGGTATTCACACAGATTGTCAGGAAAGTCTTTACTTGCCTTACAAGTTTTTCTTACAACCAATTAAAGCCATCTGAGATGACTTGCCATAATAAATATATTAATTTCTTTTCTAACATGAAGGGTTATGTTAATCCAGCTCACATGAAAGAAAGAAAAGAAAGAACT